AGATGAGGTCGCACCATTGATTTATATAGCGGCATTATGATATTGGCTGATCTGTTTACAATACCCTTCCTAATAATCCCCAGCATAGCATTGGCCTTCTTTATTGCAGTCACACACTGTCTCGACATTTTCAGTGAGTTATCTACTACAACTCCAAGATCTCTCTCTTGATCTGTCTCTGCCAGTTCAGACCCCATCAACGTGTATTTATAGTTAGGATTTTTGGCTCCAATGTGCATCACCTTGCACTTGGCCACATTGAACCCCATTTGCCATGTTGACGCCCACTCGCCCAACTTTGACAGATCCCTTTGGAGTGCCTCACAATCCTCACTGGTTTTCACCACCCTGAACAACTTCGTAAGAAATATGAAAAAATAGGAAGATTAATAAAGTTAGAAGAAGATAAGCTTAAACAAAGTACTGCAATAGAAGAATCAAGAGAGAAACTAAATTTGTTGCAGCATAAAATGAACTTACTATTGACTCAGGAGATAGCAAAGATGATAGAATTTACCAAACATGATTTCTTTGAAAATGCCAATAAGCCATCAAGATGGTTGTTGTATAGGCTCAGAAAAGAAACTGAAAAACGTGTGATAAAGTTGTTACAGAACAATAAGGGTGAGGAAAAATTTGAGATACAAGAATTAATGACTATTGCAGAAAACCTCCATAAAAACCTGTATAGAGAAGACCCCCAAGATGAAAGACCCCCAAATGGAAAGATATCTACAACAGACCATAAACAAGAAATGTGAGGAAGACCATAAGAATATGTTGAATGAGCAAATTACTATCTGTGAAGTAATAGAAGTGATTAAAAGACAAAAGAAAAAGAAATCACCGGGTCCAGATGGTCTACCGGCAGAAATATATCAAGTTTTTTAAGAACAGATTAGTCTGCCTTCTAAAGATGTACTTCAAAATATAGGTCATACAGGGAATATGCCCAGCTCTTGGTATCAGGCACTGACCACGCTAATCCATAAACCCGATACGGAGGGAAAAGATATTAAGAACTATAGACCAATATCTTTACTGAAGGTAGACTACAAAATATTTGCAAACATGCTAGAATGAAAAAAGCCTTAATGAAAATAATACACCAAGACCAAGCAGGATTTCTACCCAGATGACAAATTAAAAATAATATACGGACAATCATAAATGTGTTAGA